CCTGGCTGGGGACACAAAGCAGCCCTTCGTGGCTGCCCGGGGCCAGCCGTTGGAAGTGTGCCACACATCGACATCAACGGAGTCCACTTCAAACCCGACCAACACAAAAGAGGGCGTGGTTTCTCCCTTGATTGCCCCAGCGGAGTTTGTGGAGCGTGAGCTCTTAAAGCTGTCAACAGAATTGTGCTGATTTCCGCCGGCAAAGATTGTTCAATGCGGGCACATGGGCATAGGTATATGTCAAAATAGGGGAACCTACTGTTCCTTCTACATCCAACCCCACGAAGGTTAGGTACCCTTCACTGTTCTTGGCAAGTTGTTCGGGTGTTTTTTCATCAGGAGAAATGGTCTGATCATGTTTAGGCTTGGGGGCTGAACCATAAATCAGAAGCTTTTCTTGCAAGCCCACACCAAGGGTTGCGAAGGTTACCCTTACACACACCAAAAACAAGAACAAACAAGCAAACAAACAAACAAACAAACAAGCAAGAAAGCAAGCAAGCAAACACACAAACAAACCAACAAACCAACAAACAAACAAACAGACAAACAAACAAACACGCACAACAACAAACAAGCAAAGAAACAAACACACACAAAAACACGAAACAAATAAACAAAGAGACAGACTGAAGCACAAACAAACAAGCAAGCAAGCAAGCAAACAAACAAACAAACAAACAAAAACAAAACAAACAAACAAGCAAATAAACAAACACGCACAAAAACAAGAAACAAAGAAACAAAGAAACAAACACGCAAACAAACAAACAAACAAACAAACAAACAAACAAGCAAGCAAGCAATCAAACAAACAAACAATCAAACAAAGAAAGAAGCAACCATTCAAAGAAACACACACAAAAACAACAAACAAATAAACGAAGAGACAGACTGAAACACAAACAAACAAGCAAACAATCAAACAAACAAACAAACAAGCAAGCAAGCAAGCAAGCAAAGAAACAAACAATCAATCCAAGAAACAAACAAACAAGCAAAGAAACAAACACACACAATAAAACAAACAAATAAACAAGCAAACAAACAAACAAACAAATAAATCAACAATCAAACAAACAAACAAGCAACAAACAAACACGCACAAAAACAAGAAACAAATAAACAAGCAAACAAACAAACACACAAACAAGCAAACAAAGAAGCCAACAAACAAACAAGCAATCAAGCAAGCAAACAAACAAACAAACAATCAATCCAAGAAAGAAACAAACAAGCAAAGAAACAAACACACACAAAAACAATAAACAAAGAAACAACGAAACAAACAAACAAACAAACAAACAAACAAACAAACAAACAAACAAACAAACAAACAAACAAACAAACAAACAAACAAGCAAGCAAGCAAACAAACAAACAATCAATCCAAGAAACAAACAAACAATCAAGCAAACAAACACACACAAAAACAATAAACAAAGAAACAAAGAAACAGACTGAAGCACAAAAAACAAACAAACAAACAAACAAACACACAAACAAGCAAACAAGCAAGCAATCATATAAACAAGAAGCACATAAACAAAGAAACAAACAAGCAAACAACCAAACAAGCAAACAAACAAGCAAACAATCAAGCAAACAAACAAACAAACAATCAAGCAAACAAACAAACACAAACAAGAAAGGAAACTAAAACATAAACACGCAAACACAGCCGCCGCTTTTTCTCCGCAGAGCGATCCGAGGTCCGAAGGGCAAGAAGCAGCGGACGAGAAAATGAGGGCGGAAGTTCCGCGGGGATGCCGGCGGTCCGTTTCTTGGGCAAGTTTGGAGGTTCCAAGAACTCATTTTGGCTGAGAAGTGCTGAGCAAGAATTCCAGTTGTTACAGGCATGCGTCGGTTCAGGCATCCCTCTCAACTTTATGCCAGATCTGGTGGACAGAGCTCTGGCTGCGCAAAACGTTTTGCTGCGCCTGCCGCTCCAGAAAGAAGCGAACGTCCAGAGAATGTCGACCGCACTCACGGAGTAGTCGTGAGCAATTCAGATGGGGCTTCCAGTGGGGCAACGTCCTGCATACAGAGGGAGTTCGTTTAGGGCGCTTTTGTAAGGTAAAAGGTTGACAGGTTCAATTCCCTTCAAGTTCTTCGTTTCAAACCTGAATATTGTTTGATATTTGCTGAAGCCATGTTCATCTTCCCGGTTGTCGTTTTCGGAGATGATTGGTAAGCTGGCTAATCTCCATCTAGAACTGAGAGCGCCGTGCTTTGGACGTAGCTCCGACGTGGCAGAAGTCACGATTCGGGTCCTGATCGAGTACCAGAGGGGTCAGCTGCGGAGGTTTGAGGTTCGGGAAGGAATACATGGGGACATGGGGACTCTTTAGAATTCTTTCAGAAAAGTTGTGAGGACTGTCTAACTCTCTCACAATACCGGTAATAGCTGGACATAGTTGGACCTTGGGTGATTTGCCGCATGCGGGCCCATGATCCATTTTGGTTCCTGTCCACGTTGCTCCTGACAAGATATGTCCCATGCCTTCTGGAGGCTATCAGGGACTCTCAAGCTGCCCTCTCGGGCGGGGGTAATCAGGCAATCATCAGGATGTAGGGTCCGTCCAATAGTTGGCTGCATTTTGAAAAGGACTCTGTCCAGCCCACATCAAGGGAACCGTTACTTCCAACAACTACTTTAGTCATTTCTGCAGGTCTTTGCCATTTCCAGTATTTCTCCGTGTGTGTATGCGTCAACACCAGAGACCGCTCCCACATTGCTGGTTGGTCCACGTGTAAGGGAAGTGGGGCGAGGTACAATGAGAGGGCCGATTCCTATGGGATCCTTCGTTTTGGCCTGCCGAAGGGGGTTGCTAGATGGATCCCAGACACAGGCGCGCGCACACATATACATGAATATACATATATGTCCAGTCCCCGAACAGGTCATGATAAAAGCCCCTGACATTCACAGAAACTGGATCCAAGGCAAACGAGGTACTCCTTGCACAAAACCAACTAGAAGGCAGGTGGCAACAAAAACACAGAATTGCAATTTGTTCTAGGCAAGACTAGCCGCAATTTGTGGTGCACAGAATAAGCTGTCTTTCTGTTTCTTTGCACAAGTTCTCTGCGCAAGCGAGGAAGTTTCTCCTGGGCAACAAATAAACATTGGTTGCAAGCAGTATGTAGACATGCCAGACCCCGATAATTTACAGAAACGGGACCAACACAAGATATTTGAGTATCCCCGGAACAAAAAGGAGAAGCATTCTCCCAAGATTTGTCCAGGAAACAAGGGATATTCAACTTTGAAGCTTGCCCACGCAAATGGTTGTGAAACTTGCCGACTTGCCCTCTGAAATTCACACCGCTGAATCCAAACTTCTCAGCATTTAGATCCAACATGCCATGACTTCGGGAGTTTTGGGGGAAATCTTCGAAAGGTCTGGTATGATGGGAGTTTGTAGTACCGCTATTGGGTTGGATCTTTAGACTTTTTCTTTTTGGGTGATGAAGGGGGTTTCCACTAAACCCACAAAAAGTTAGACTTTTTGCAGAGGGGTTAACAGCAACAGAGTTTAGATGTCCGAAGACATACCTGGATTTCAGGAATCTGGATCCAAGATTTAAGATTGCTGGGTTTCAGGGGGCATTCATGGATTCAAGATGTCCCTCCAAAGTCCCAGAGCAATCTTGGATTCTGGAACCAGGTTCCTCAATGCCGGTGCGAAGAAATCTAAATACCAGCGTTTCGAATTGTCACTCCCCTTCCTTGGTGCCCAGTTTTTGGCAACACAAACAGCTCAAAAACAGTGGTTCGAACACAGACAAAATAAGCACCGGAAAAGGATGCCATAATATATATATATATATACATATATGTATCCGAAATATGTATATATATATGTCTATATACATTATATACATATACACATAATCTGTACTCAGTTAACACTAGAGCACTCGCGGAGGCTAAACAAATGGGCATGACGGTTGTGTTTCTCCGCCAGCTGTCCGTCTGGGACTTGGCTCTCGAGCGTGGCCTCCAGCTGGGTTTTCCAGAGCAACAGACCTGCCAAAGGCGTCACGGCTCCCTTGGCGTCACAGCCTCCAGCTTGGCACGCAGGCGACTTTTGAAGCCGATAGCTCACTTCCCAACATCTGTTTCCCAAAAGACCGCCGCCTTTCGAGGATTTGTGTGTTTGCCGGCAACTCCTTCCACGTGAACTTGCAGAGTACCTTGCAGAGATCGGCAACGCGTGCTTGCTGGAGCTGTTTCGCAAGCTTTGGGTAGGTGATGTTGCTCTAGCCTGTGACCGCGCCGGTATGCCTCTACCACACTGAGTGTTTGTCTGAAAGGACATGTACTTCGGTACTTCGGTTGACCTGGTGCAGCTTTTAGCATCATTTCAGCTCGCTCGAAAGGTGCGAGTTTCGCGCGTGCAGTGGCGTTGGTTCCCGGATGTCAATCACCGTCTTGCTGACTCTCACTTGCCCAAAGCCGACCTTCTAAGCTGTTTGGTTTGGTCCCTTAGTCAAAGTTCCAAAAGGAGAAGCTTCTGGGTCCCTAAGCTGATGGGGTTGGTTGAATTGGTTTAAACCTGTTACAACAGGCACTCTGTCTACTTCAAGGGATCTCCCAGGCCATGTTGCCGAAAAACATTTGCCACATGCTTCGGCAGGCGGCACATGACAGAGGTTCTGCATGCTCTGGGTGTTTTTGCCACCAACCGGCTTGAGAGACTTGGAGAGCCCCAGACACGTCGGAATCGTGGACCTTGGTCGGTTCAAAGTTCAATGCAAGGAACACCCTCAAGCATGGCTGGAGGAGTCCAATTAAGCCATATGGCTGTGGGTCAAAAATAGGTACCTTATAAGAGGAAACATGGACTAAAAGCTGCGGTGCGGTCCCCTGGTGGTTTAATTAATTTTGACCCGCAGCCATCTGTCCAAAAGGTCCAGTGTTCCATGGAAAAAAACGCCTGCCGTGTTTCTCCTGGAAACTTCATGGCACGTTTTTCCATTCGCTTTTGCCTCAGTTGCAGCGTGGCACTGGCGAGGCGGGGTAGGCTGTCGGGTCAATACAGTTTGGGTGTGATTCGAATAGAGAAATCCTATCACCAGTGTGGACAGCATTCAAGTGGAAATTTATGCCCACCAACCACTTTGGAGGGTTCCTACAAAAGGACTGACATGTTGTCGCGTAGAGATTTTGGATGTTCCCAAACGGGGCCAACAGGCATAATTGTTGATTGTATCTGGGTACTTGCTTATTTGGCCAAACTCTTTTCACCCCTTCGCACCTGCCTGGTTTGAGTCTCACTGGAGGTCATGATTTTTCCACACGGGAACCATGAAGCCATGGGCCAGAATCACTGTTAGCAAGCTTCCTTTGGGTGATGGCATCATGTTTCAAGGGATTCTTCAGCCTTATCATCTTGCATCCAGCGGCTTTTTTGACGCTTGCAACCGTTCCAATGGAAATCCCTGACCCCCGCCGTTTCAACGGGCCTTTTCTGATGCTTGGGTTATATGTTGGCTGCCGTGCGATGGACGTTCCAGTTGGTTGATTTACGGCTCCTTGAAGCATTTTGGGGAGCATTTGTGATTTGGAAAAGCGGGGAATCCCTCCTAAAGCCCTAATGTAAATGTTGGCACCTTCAACTCTCCTTTGACTGTTTTTGTTGTAACCCGAGATACCATTATCAGACATCCTTGTTGGAGAGTTCATCCTCTTTAGCTCCATTTGACTAGGCGTATTGACCATGGTGTGTGGGATTCTGGTCAACAGCCTGGGACCCTTGGTGTTGGTTTTGCCATTCTTTCCCCTCCCGCTACTCACCAGAGGGGGGTCTTGTGCGTGTTTTGACATGAGTTGTCTCTTAAGTGGGGTGCAAGGGGCTGAAGGGTCAACGACCAATTCCGAGTGCGACGGCCACCACATGTCACCAGTTCCGTCAGAAAGCCGTGCTTTCTTCTCTGGTGAGTTCCCCACTAAACAGGGCTGTGGGAAATGACCACTGTGGGCTTCCCAAAGACTCACCCTCCATATAAAGGGGGAGATTCCCTGGTATCAGATTCCCAAAAGTATCACAGAAGTGGTTGGAGAAAGCCCGAGTGATCCCAGAAGCCTGCCACGAAAAGGGTTTCCCTTCCATCACTCAATGCATCACTGGAACACACTGAGTCAAAAAGGATCCGGGCCCATAGGCAGCCAGGGAATGAGAGGCCTCAAGAGTTTGGAGCCGATGACATCAAGGCGCATGAGAGCCCCGAGTTATATGTGTCAAGGGTGCTCTTTTGTTGAGGCTGCTCTTTGAAGGAACCAGGGCAGACATCACAAAATCATTTCCAAGGGCCGTCTCTTGCTTTTTTGGGGGGTTTGAATTTCTCACCCATCAGTTTAAGTATGGTAGCGTATACAACACACGAACCTGCATGCGGCCTTGGAGTTGCCCCTTAGAAACACAGAAGCAAGCGTAGAAGGAGGGAAGACAACACCTGAGATGAGAGCAACATCTGGGGACAAGACAGGCTTAGGACAGAACTTGTTGAGCCACATGTTTCAAAAACTCTTAGCCAAGAGGTTGATGGTTGAAGGTTGGGTTTTAGAGCCACTTTCTGTGATATGAAGGGAACCGTTTGGTGATAAATCGATGGGAATCAACTTTGGACTTTGGTATCACAGTGACACCAATAGGAGTTCGTCTTTTTTAGGTCGGACCCCCAACATGGCGCAACGGTTGTCCTTTCCTGGTTCCCTTTCAAAACCAACCAAACGGGGGATCCCCAAACAATAACACGCCAACTTCATACTTTGGACCATTTGGTGGTATGGAGGTTCGGGGGGGAGTCCATTTGCCCTCTACAAGAACCAGGGGATTGGTACGCCACAAAAGGGAATGGAGCTTTCGGTTTCCCCCCGAAGAGTTTGGTGGCAGGGAACGCTGGACGCCGCTTGGCCGGGAGCCAAGTCGGAAACCTCCTCAAGGGGAAATGCCCCAAGTACCCTTCCAATGAAACCGTTCGACGTTTGGGAATCCTGGTTTGGACCATTTTCCTTTTTACAAGGGACCGGGTCCCGAACGTCAGGTTCCATGTTTGTTTTGTTTTTTGGGTGGGTATTTGCAGATTTGGTTTGACCAACTAATGCCGAGCCAAGGAGAGCTAACTACCAGAAGTTCTGGTTATGTCGAGTCTCATTGGAGGCCTCATCCAAAGTTGAGAGATGTTGGGGTGCACTACAGATGGAACAAAGTTCTGGGCAAGTTATATCGAGCTCACCTGGTGAAATGAGATCCATGAAGTTGTTTTTTGACATTGCTCGACCTTGCCTGATGTTTTGGTTGGGAGTTGTAGTAGATTTGAGCAGACATTGTTCCAACACTTTTGAACCACCAGGCTGTTTAATCAACCTTCTTTGGGCTTCCTTTTGAATGTGTCAGGGTGTGTATGTACTTCAACGTATCCCAACCCTGAGAGTCCTTCATGTGGGGCTGGGGGTGTCCAGAACCTTGGTTCTAGGGAAGCAACCCAGATCTCCGCAAGAAACCGAACCGTAAGCCCAACGCTGTTTCTGTTCGGAAACACTCTTGAGCAACATGGAAGTGGAAAGGGGCTTCCTCATACCAAGCAAATAGAGGCCTTGTACACTCCAAGACGAGATCCTTTTGAGCCATGAGTCGTTCGCATGAACCGCATGGATCAAGCCGCGTCAGAAGGCTGCGAAGCCCAGACGCGGCGGGCAAAGCGGCGCGGGTGAAAGGTTAGAGGCGAGCGGTGAACATGTGTTTGGAATTACACGGATCAGCGTGCACCACGCCACTTTCCCTTACTCAGATTTTATCAGGATCGGCCCCAGAAACGCATTAGCACAGTTGATCTCACCTGTCAAGACGCGGCTCATTAGAGGACTTGACTGCATTTGTTTCGCCTCCAAGTCAAGTGCGAGGACAAGAGTTTCGCAGCAAACAAGGCCAGGCGCATCTCAAAGAGCACAATGTAAAGGGATCGGCATTGGATACAGTCGCCAACTCCCAAAGAGCACGGGAGTTCCTCACCAGAAAACCAAGCAACACCATGAAAATCATAGTACATTTTCCTGAAAGCATGGGCCGAGCCATGGTGCGGAGAAGTCCGCGGATGCGGGTGCTGCCTGTGCTTCTGCTCGCCCTTTCGGCGCCTAGTTTCTTGCAGGCGGTGAGGCGGGAGGGCGGGACATGGCTCGGGGTCTTGTCAAGTGAGCCACTTGTTCAAAGCCCGGGTAGATGAAGGTTTGTAAGGGGCGTTGCCAGCCAGAAATAGCTGCGGCCGCCATTTAATTTCCTCACATGGATTTGGGTGGACCATTGTAATTCGAGGTTTTGATTGTCACTCAAGTTGGATTGAAGGGAAACCCAGATGGAGACCCAAAACCATCTATCGGGGGTCTGACACATACAGGATTTGGAAAGCACTTCATGGGGTTCGGCAAAAGCTGAGGCAGGTTTGACTACCCCAAGGTAGACAGGAACTCAACTTGGCCTTTCAGCGTGCTGTTTCCGGTCGTTGACCTAAGGCAGGAGCATGTTTATCCCTTTCAAAATGGAAGGGGAGGGGGGTGACCCCCGTTCCATTTATGGTTCCATTTTCTCCTGCGCGGGAGACAAGATAAATGGTTTGGGGTATCCTTCACCCCCCCCTTAGAGGAGTTGCAGCCAAAGTCATGGATCAGATTTGAGCACTCGCTTTGTGTTTTGAGCGGTGCATCCCTGCCTCCAGTCTGATTAGAGTTCGCGTGATGAAGCGCTTGCTACTCAGCTCAGGCGGTTCATCTTTTCGCCTGCAGAAACCCCAGGCGAAAAGAGGTTTCCGGTTCCTGGTGGTGTTCCGGAACACCAGAGATTCCTTCGCGGTTCCCCGCCGAACTTGACTTGGGTCAGGGACTTATACACTACTACGGTACTTGACTGGGGTAAAAATCTTATGGGTTCAACTTTCCAGATGTTTCACCCGCGGATCAGCCCCTGGAAAGCCTTTTGTCTCCACTAAAAAGGCCTCGTTCTCTTCATTGACCCGCCGAGGATGAGCTCACTTCCGGAGTTTCGGGACTTCATACTGTTTGGGAAGTCCTTCATTTTTTTCTCGGGGGGGGGTCCCATTTAGGGCTTAGGGGCTGGACTATTTACAAAACCATCCTCAATCCTTGTAGAGGTGTCCCACTATTCGATTAGAAATAGAGATGCGACCCTGTGCCGCCCGTGGAGCTCACAGAGCGTGCCGCTGGAACATGTCCTGCGCCCAAAGAGTTTCTTGCTTTGGCGGAAGAATCCGTGACCTGAGGAGCACTGAGGAGCGGAAAATCCGTATATATGAAAGTTGTTTGAGGAGTCTCTGTGGTTCTTATAAAATCAAGCCCCCAAGTGCTCCCCGAAACCCTGTTGGTCAGTTTAGTAAGCCTCGCGTGCAGAGATGGCTTGGGACTTGTGAAGGGACTTCCTCGCACTTTGAGACCTGGGTCGAACCACGTGCTTCAAGCAATCTAGGGCGCACCCCTTTTGGCTTGTTCAGGACACCGAAAGGAAACACACCAAGTTAAGGGTCCCCCATTGTTGGACACTCATATGGACTATGAGTGTCTCCCCGCATGGGAGACCTCTCCAAATGATGGTCTACCAGAGGGAGTTCCTAATCATGTTTGGTGCTAAAGAAAAAGTGACATGCGTTGCTCTTTCTTGGATGTTGGGTTTAATTGGTACGGGCACAGGAAGCGATCTGACACCAACCTAGTGGGAGATGTGGTGTTCTTGTTGGCGCTTGTGAATTCCAGGAGCTCATATTCCAATCGAGCGGGCAGAACGCAAATGAGCAGGTCAAATGAAGCATACGAGCCAGCGGATAATTGGAGGATTGCTAGTCATGAAGCTCCAGTACATTTCTTTCCTAGGTCCCTGAGTAGTGCCCTTTTACCAATCATGGAAGCTGACAGGGAGGCGTTGGAAGACGACTTCCTTTTGGGAACCCTGCTAGTGTTCGAGGGAGGGTATAACCAGTGCGGAGCTTGTTGTCCATCAGCAGCACATTGCTTTTGTTTTTTTTCCATGGGATCAACGGGCTGTTTTCGTTTCGTTGGCTGTGGCAAATTGTTTGGTAGGTAGGCTCCGAGGCCCCAATTGGTGGTTTGGAGGGGGTAGCTTCCCCCTTGTACCCTCAACAAGAACCAGGGGTTACCAATCCAAGCCAAAAATCCAAGCCCGCGAGTCGGGGTGACCTGAGATACTCTGGGTGTTGAGTAGCCCATGAGCTTTGCTGGTTTTTGACAGAGACACCAGCAGGAACCGGGCATTTCTCCCTGTTTGGCGCCGGGTACTCCTGAGGCTCGATTTTTGAGCAAGCCACAGCTTTCAATAGACCTTGACATGGCTGGGCCTGGGATCATGGCTGTTCTTACCACTTGGGGTGACAGACAACTCACTTCCTGAAGTCCTGGATTTTCAACTTTGTGGGAAGAACAGTTTAGTGAAACAAAAAGTGCTGGGGACTTGTTTTGGCCCATCCGCTCAGGAAGTGAGATAGTCAACCAAGTGGACATGGCCTGGAAAGAGCCACGGTAGATACCACCTACTTACGTTGCAACATCGACGGAATCTGCCCAGAGCCTTTGCCGACACCTCAACTAGAAACTTATGACCCATGCTGGCTCTTTACTCACAAAACAAGGTTTGTCCCTTTTGAAGTATGACTTTGCCCAGATACTCGTGCACAAGCATGTATATATATATATATATATTTGTATAATATATTATATCATATCATATCATATATCATATCATATCATATTATATTATATTAGATTATATCATATTATACAAATTTTATATACATACATAATATCACATACTATGTGTATAATATGGTGTTTTTTTTTTGTCACAACGGTGGCCCCCGATCTAAAGGGTGTTAAAGGGAAGCCCTATTTTGATAAATATCCATACCTGGAGAGAAGTGATTTGCCCAGAACGGCGGGTCTCGTAGCCAGGCCGCGCCCGCTGGTCGCCCGACCCGCATCGACGTCGGCTGACGCGCCGACCAAACCGACGGCCGCAACGAAGGCGTTGCTGCCAATTTCTTTGTCGGGGGCCAAGTGACCGCGGATTGAAGGCTCAAACATGAGCTGCGTGATTGTCTTTGCTTGCATGAGAAAGAGGATGCGAGTGAGTAAGTGTGTGAGTGTGTGAGTGTGAGTGGTTTTGGGTGTTTGTTTGTTAACGTTGTGTATTTTCCGTTGTTTCTTTGCTGTTTTTTGCTTGTGTTGTGTTTTTGGTCGGTTGGATTGGTGGGGTTCGGTGGGCTTGGTTCGGAGGTGTGGGTTCGGTGGGTTTGGTGGGTAGGAGTGGGTTCTGTGGGAAGGAGTGGGTTCGGTGGGGTGGGTCTGCCGGTCCGTCGTCCGTTTCAGTCCGTTTGTCCGTCCGTCCGTCCCCGTCTGTCTGGTCTGTCCGGTCCGGGCTGGTCTCTGGTCTGGTCTCGTCTGGTCTTGTCTGTCTGGGGTCTGTCTGTCTGTGTGTTTGTTTGATTGGTGTATTGGATGTCGGGTGGCTGCGGCCCCCCAAAATGGCTTCTGTTTTCAACTTGATTTTCCTTACCACCCAAAAACGGGTACCCAGTTCGGATCACGTGTGTGTCACCTGTTGGGGCAAGGGTGCGGTCACTTGCCTTTCGGAGGTTGCTACCGTGGGGAAACCAATGCTTACCCCTGATGAATGCCCTGTCGAGGTTGACCTGAAGCTGCATATTGTTTGGGTACGTTTGGTTCTCTCCAGGCTTGTGTCGGCCTTGCCAGTGAGAAAGTCACACAGTTTCAAGTTCAATTGCTGGAGAGGGTCATGCTTTTGGGGGGCTGGGCTGCTGGCAGTTAGGCTTTAAAGTAGTCCGGGCTGGTCTTTAGTCAGGGTCTCATTAAGGATCCTTCTGCACATCGTGTAG